ATCGCTCTGCTGACCCTTGGGGTCCATTTTATTTTGGTATACCTTTTCTAGGTACGTTAGCCTGTGACCACGGAAATTGGCCGAGTCAAGTGATGGATTAGTACGGAGAGATTGAGACAGAAGGAGGTACTGGATAGAGAGACCGGGATGGTTTTTAATGTGAAGATAACAACAACAACAACAACATACCAGATGTTTAACCAACATGCCAGTAGTTGGCACCCGCTCAGAGCCCGCCCCCCTGCCGCCGCCGCCGCGTGACCTGCAAAAACGTCTCGCAGGCCGTTGCTCATGATCTTCAGCTGGGGTTTTCGCCAAGTCCGCATTGCCCTCGACACGATCGTCCTGCACAGCGTGCTGGCGACGAAGAGCGTCAACGAGCGCGCCGAGACGCCCCCGTCCGATGACGCCTCCTCCGCCCCCCCTCCCGCGAGTCCTCAAGGGTCTCGGCGGCTCGGAGGGGCCCACCGCCGATGACGGTGTCGTTTCGGGCAGACGATGTCATTTCGGGCAGGGGTTCTCCCTCCGAGAGCTGCCGGAAGACATGTCATAGGTTGTCGATCAATCGGGGCTTGAGGGCGATGGCCGGGGTCAAGCGTGCAGAGCTCGAGAACCAAAGCCGCGACATTCGCTCGACAGGAAGCGTGCCGGTTCGTCCTCGTTCTCGTTCGGGAGAACCTCCCGATGAGCCCACCGTGTGGCTACGGAATTGATCTGGACGGCCTGGGGTCTCTTTTTTGGTCGGTCTGGTAAACGACGAGAGGAAAAGAGAGGTTCCTGATTGGCTGGGATTGGTGAAGGGAGTTTTGAAGGAACTGGATCTACTGTGAGGTCGAATTGTTCCTATTGGTGGAGTTTTTTTTTTATTCCATCGTGCTTACGAACACGTGGTTTTCTCGAAAAGACGGCGGTCTTAGCCGAGTGAGTGTTGAATGCGATCAACGTTGGTTGCATACCGTGTTGTGTGCGCCGAAGCATTAGTTCCGTACGAATACCTGACTGACTCATCCGGCAAGCTTTTGGCGGTTCCGGATGCTTCCGAAGTCATGGCCGGGAAAATCTTGTTCTGGGGGTGGGCGACCTGGCTTGTACTACGGTGCCTACCGTCGATGCATTGCCGCGAGGAGTGTACACCGGAAACTCCCCAACATGTTTGAGTCTGGAGGTATACATGTAGACTAGTCTAGAGGGTAGCTCCAGACCTCACGCACCTTATTTGCCACGGCGAGCTGCTTAGATCGTGGCTGCAGAAGCCTTGTAAATTGGCACCTGTGTCAGGGGGGCATGCTGCGGTAGAACAGGTTGTTGATAGGTTGGATCAACTCTGGCAGAGAGATGTATATATGTATTTACCTCGTACCAGGAGATAAAGAGCGTGAGCGGCTAAAACAGGCGAGAGGGTTTATCACGACTGTTGTGTGCCGACAGGTTTTCGGCTGCACCTATTCGATCGATTTCAATAAAGGTGTAATTCAGAGGTGTGACCATAGGGCCGGTAAATGTTTTCTGGGGGGTCAGTGGTTTGAAGTTTGAGGTGATCGGACACCCCGCACAGGGTCGGACCCTTAATCTACAAATTTGGTTCCCCGTCGAGCATGTTGTTGTTAGATGACCGCTGTAGGAGCATTGGTTCACACGTGATGACTGCTGAAGTTGTTCCATGGAAAGCTCAGCATGATAGCGTTTCATTTCATTTGCGCTCTTCGCCCTTTTGATGTTCGATTAGGCGTGCATGGTAACAGTTGATGTTGATGGGCCACGCTTTGGTGCAGGGTTGCGTATGTGTTCGTGGGAGGGATCAAAGTGAAGAAATTGTCGACAATACATAACTTATTTGTGTCTGGGTTTACGCGGGAGGTTCAACTCTTGAAGATAGATATATTTTGTTGTATACGTAAGTCTGAAGCAGCCCGCTCACGGTAGATGATCTCCGTGTGCTTGAGTTCTCCCAAGGCCGAGGCGAGGGCGAGCATTAACTGTTGCTTGAAATGTGAGGAAGGCGTATTTTGGCTAAGCGTCACCGCGATCAGGGATATGCGAGCAAGCGGGGTTGGTGTGTTTGCTTCGCGTGGCTTGGAGTCGTCGGCAGGGCTTCCCTTTCCCTTCACTATCGATCTTACTCTGCGTCAGGGAACCTTGTTTGTTCCTTTCTTGTTGTATTTCCATATTGGTTTGCTCCTTTGAGGTAGGTCAACTACAGTTGTAGCGCCATACGTGTCTCCTGCTTTGCTTGAGAGAACATGCCCCCTTTTGTCTGCTGTTGATTTCTGCTGTTGTTTTTCATGCTTGCTTGCTCCTTGGCGGCATGTAGACCACGGTACATAGCGCTTTTACGTGCCCCCTACATGGTATGAGAGTGTGTCCCCTGCTTTGCGTGAGTGAGAGAACTCTCTTCTCTGCTCCTTCTTCGTTGTTCTTTCATGTTCTTTCATGTTGTTCCTTTCCGGTAGTATATAGGCTAGCACTATACGTGTCTCGTTGTAAAACCGGCAGCGGGGGACACCGTCCGACCTACTACGCGTCTGTGTCGAGTCCTTCCATTGGGGTGATTCCGTATCTATCCCCCGCTGCCACGGGTAGGTGGCTCGTGGGTCGAACAATTATTCTTAAGCTGGCATGTACGCACGTGTTTTCGTGTTCGCAACCGACGACCTCTCTCGGGTTCGGCGGGAGCTTGAGACTGTTGTATTTTCCGGCCTCTACGCAAACGTAGTTGCTTTCGTAGTACAGGCGGAATAGTGTTGTTATTGTGGAGGCTGGCACCCCAGGGTATGTGGTATCTCAGAAAACGCCACAGATCTCCGCGTCAATCCGTACAGTGTATTGTCAACTTGTTGGCACGCTGCTGCTTCTGCACATGATGGTTTTTCCCGCCTGGGTGTTGGTTGTGATGGATCCGAGCTTCTCGTGTGCGTGTTGGGACCTCTTTGAAGTAATACGACCAAAGCCGGGCACTCTTTCCTTCTTTTTTTTTGCCGTATTTGTCTCTTCATTTACTGCAAAGAAAGCCCGTTCTGACGGCTGTGGGGCGTTGAGTAGGACTGGTCGGCGAAACTACAACCGACTCAGAGATTGAGATCGAATATTCTGATTTGCAAGATTATTTTGTGTATGCAATGCATCTCTTTGAAGCAATACGCAAACGAGGGGCTTCGCTGCCAAGTGAAGTTATGGACTTCGTTTGCCTTTCGTCTCAACAGTCCTTGCCCTAAGGCCCATGTTTATGGTCACCAAATCTTTGGGAAAATGTCTAAATTTTCAAACATTTGCGGATAAAGATTTTGTTTCACTTTTTATGGGAGGAAATCTTCGGCGAAATATTCTCAAAGATTTTGAAATGGGGCAAAAGTCGCTCGTTTGACAAAATGTTTGACAAACATTTTGAGATGGGGCAGGTCGCGGAAATGTTTGGGCGGCGGAAAAGGCAAGTAGCGCCGCGTTTTCGGCACATACGCCGCCAACACACACGAACACACCCCATCAACACAAGAAGACACGAACACATCTACACGCACACGCACGAGAAGGCCGCGCCGACGAGAAGGCCACGCCCAACATGGATGAGGAGTCCATAATGACCGGGGCTGCTGCCGCAGCATCGAGTTTGCAGAACATTATGCACACGTTCGACTCCGATGGTGAGCATGATGACCAAGAACCGGGTGGTTTGTTCGGCGATCTGCGGGTGGAAGAGGAGGAGGAGGAGGAGGAGGAGCGCGAGAAGCACATCCGGCGCTCCTACCCTCGCCCGGAATACTGGCGGTCAACCGGGGGGAAGTGGGTACTGAAGCTGCGAGAGCTGAATGCTGCGGAGGAGGGGCTGGACCCGGAATGTCGAGAAGCTGTGCAGTTTGCCGGCACCTTCCGCATCCCTTTCGTGTTGTTCGAGAGCATCATGCAGACGGTCACCTCCATCTTCCAGTCTTCAGCCAGAGACGTCGCGGGCAGGGATTGCCCACCCGTGGAACTCAAGGTGTG